ATGTTTAGAAATTTTGACTTTTCAAAATGAAATCTTGAGTTTTTTATTTCTTGATGAACAAGTTTCATATTTTGACATGTTTTGATGAATTGTGATCTTTGATACTTGATTTTGACCAAAAAGTCAAAGTTTGACTTTTCAGTGTACACTTGAGTTTTGATCAGCTAACTGAAAATCCACTATCAATCAATTGATCTTGAGGAATGTTTTGAGCCATGCCATTAGGTAAAAATAATTCATTTTAATCCTTTAGATCATATCTCAAACCAATCAATCATTTGCTAGGTCAAAAATCAGAAATTACACCTTCTCAGTCAAAACCCTAATTTTGACCATTTTGCCCTTTTGATGATCTGATCAAATTTCTTGAGGAATTGTGATACAAACTTTATCAAATGACATATATGAGTTCATAATATTGATATGGATCAAAAATTATGATGTTTGATTATAAATTGACCATAATTGACTTTTTCCCCAATATAGTTGATTTTAGGTCAACTAGTCAATTGATTGAGCAAAAATGTGATCCAATACTTGAAACTTGACATGAGAAATATTGAGGGTCCAAAATGATCCATGAAAGTCATATGGGGCATTAAAAGTCCATTTTTCCTTATGCAATCTCAAACCCCAATTTTCAGTCATCAGTGCTAGAGGAGGTGTCCTTAGCTGATCAACCCTTGTGCAGTCTTAAACCAAAGAAGATCTTGTGAGAGATTATTTGAAAAATGAGATGGAAAATTTTGGGTTACAACAACGACGGTTCTTTCAAAACCACGGTGACATCTCTAAACCCACGGTGCTAACATTTTCTTTTATTTTTTATTAAAAATTGTTAACATACAATAACAGTTGCAACCATAACCATAGTTATAGAATATGGGCTTTCTTGGGTTCAAAACTCAGTGCCCTCAAATATATTATTCATTTAATATTAAGGCGCATCTTTTCTATTCTTTTTTATATATAAAATAAAGAGTTACAATCATGGGTGGAAACTTCAACCGTTGTGAGTATATTTATATATAAGTGAATTAACTCTCACTCTTTCACAGTAGTAACATATCTATCACAAAAAAACCCTAGAACCCCTTTTTATCTTCTTATTCATCATTAGCGTTCATATTCTACAGTATATCCGTCAATCTTGTTCTTCTTACATAAAGGTATTCTTCTTTTTCCTTATTCTCTCGTTTTCGTTTATGTCGTTGTTATGTTTCACTTGGTTTTGCTATGATTTTGTTTTTGTTAGATAGTTTATGGCTCCTTTATTATTGTATGTTATTATATGTTGTTGTTGCATGTTGTGTTGTTGATAAATAAGTTTGCGGTTTCACATGTTGATAATTTTCGTGGTGTTTGTAGGACTCAAGAACAGTGAATGAAGAAACAACAACAGCAACAAACTTCATCTAGTTTTAGAAGCTATGAAAAGAAATATAACAAGTATGAACCTATTGTGTTAACTTCATTCACCTTATATTTCTTCTTCATGGATTCACAAACTATATGAACCTCATATGCTGATGATGATGGTGGTATCAAGCGTATAATATGAGTTGATAAATGGTTTTTCAGGTGCAACTAGCAAGTGTTTATGGTTCTTTACTTCTCACTTAAAGCTTCAGAAATAGTTAGTTTTTCAATCTCCCAAATGATGTAAATTAATTTGATGTTTTTGTTGATAAATGTTGTTAGTGAGTTTGTTATATAACATGAGATTGCTTGTTTCACTAATCCCTCATTAAACTTGCATTCATTTAAAAATATTTTTAAGATAATAATTTTAAAAATTAAGTTATTCTTGAAAATAAACTTAGACGATCCAATGTTTTTCGAATTGCATGCATCTTGTAAATCGTAATTCCCTTTTTAGCGTATAGAATTTCATTTAATGTCACAAATTTTTCAAAATAATATTGATAAATGGGTGTCAGTCTAGATCTTTCACACAAATCTTGATGTTTGAAAAATAAAGTAGAAAAGAAGAGGAAATAAAATTTTATATGAAAGACTCAGACTTGCATCTATTTAATAACATTACTTTGAAGAATTTGTGATTGAATCAAATCCTATAGGCTAAAAGAGGAAATCATGATTTACATGATGCTTGCAATTCAGATAATATTGGATATTTTAAGTTATTTTTCAAGAATAACTTAATTTTTCTGATTATTGTCTCAAAAATCTATTTGAATGGTTGTATATGGTTAATGAGGGGCAGAGAAAAACAAGCAATCCCATATTTTACAATAAACTCTTACATATACCATAAAAGTTGGAATATTTAACTGTGGTGAAATGTTATTTTTATGCGCTTTAATTTTGGTTGTAGCTGGGTATCGAACCCATGCCACTATAATTATTACAACGATTGTTTAAGTCAATTGTTGTGATAGACATTTTACCACAACGGTTCTTGGACCTGTGATTGTAAGTGCCACATGTACAACTACACTCTACACAACAACACCTAGACCCACGTGATTATATGTGTTTTCCAACTGTTGTTAAATGGGTTTTCCGTAGTAGTGTAAGCACATGTTGTCCAAACCAAATTTTCATAGTTGAATTAGAAAGTGGGATTTTGCTCTATCTGAGTACTCCCCGACTTATGTGCCTTTAAAGACCATGAAGGGGTAAATTATCATCGACTTAATCGTAAATCATATGATAATCAAAGCTTCTAAAAATTACCTAGAGCCAAAACCTTGGAAGTTATACTTTGATGGTTCCACTCATAAAAAATGGAAATGGTGATGGAATCATGATAATTTCTCTAGAAAACATTCCAACAAAATTTAAGTTCAGGATCAGAGGTTCTTGCTTTAATAACAAAGTCGAATATGAGGCTTTGATAGATGGCCTTGAAATCTTATTAAATTTGGGGGGGGGGGGGGGGGGAGTCTAAATCAAAGGAGACTCTAAGTTGGTTGTAAAACATATAACAAAGTATTACAAATGCATTAAGGAAAATGTACTAATGTACTTTGTTACAACAAATCGACTAATAAAACTGATTGATTTTGTTGACATTCAACATGTGCCTCAATTGGAAAATCAAGAGGCCAATGATCTGGTACAGATCACCTTAGGATATAAAGTGTCGAAGAAAAAATTGGAAAAATTGATTGAAGTTCGAGAGATAATAATTTCGACCAATATGTCCAAACTCGAGGGGGTAGAAAGATCTGGGAAAATAGATCCCGGAAATTACAAAATTATTGAAATTTTTGCCATGGATAATATGTCAAATTTTGATTGGTGAAAACTGATGATTGAATACTTAGAAAACCCAATAGGATCAACTGATCGAAAGATCGAGTATATGGCTTTAAACTATTTCATCATAGGGAACAAATTGTTCAAAAATACTTTTGAGTGTGTCTTGCTCAAATTCCTTAGCGAAAGAGAGGCTTATTTAATAATATTTGGTTTACATAGCGGGTCATTTGGTGCTCATCAAGCAAGCCACAAAATGAAGTGGTTGTTGTTTCAACAAGGAATTTATTGGCCCACAATATTAAAATACTGCATCAGAATTTCCAAAGAGTGCTAAGAGTGCCAAAGACATGAAGACACTCAACATGTTCCTGCAAGCGAATTACATGCAATCATGAAACCTTGGCCATTCAGAGGTTAGGCTCTGGATTTTATTGGCAAAATTCGACCAACATCGTCTAAAAGCCAAAGGTATATCTTAGTTGGCATATATTATTTTACTAAATAGACAAAAGGAATGCACCTAGTCAATGTAAACCTAGATCCAATAATAGACTTTATCCAAAACCATATTATCTACATGTTTGGAATTCCTAAAACCATAACAACTGACCAGGGATCACCATTCACTGGTCCAAAAAAGCTGGAATTTGCTTCTGAAGTAGGGATTAAGTTTTTAATATCCACACCTTATTATGCCTAAGAAAATGGTTAGGTCGAATCGGCAAATAAGATCATAATTGGGCTAATTAAGAAGCATGTGGGAAAGAAACCAAGGAATTGGCATAAGACATTAGGCCAAGTTTTATGGGCACGTCGAACATCCCCTAAGGATGTAGTGAATTCTACTTCTTTCTGACTAACATTTGGAGATGATGTCCTCTTACCTGTCGAGATATATTTGCAATCGACTAGAACTCAAAGACAAAATGAGTTAACATATGAACATTATTGGAAAATGATGTTAGATGAGCTAGTCGACTTAGATGAAGAACGATTATTTGCATTGGATGTATTGATAAGGCAAAAAGAGCGAAGAGTCAAGGCCTATAATAAGAAGGTTAAAGCAAAAACTTTCTTAGCAGGTGATCACGCTTGGAAGGTCATTTTTCATATGGTTCGAAAATATATAACTTTAGGCAAGTGATCACCTAATTGGTAAGGCCCATTTCAAATCATTGAAGTGTTTTCAAATAACGCTTACAAGATCAAAGAGCTATCACCTGATCGTCAAATCTTGGGAGTAAATGGTACATATTTTAAAAAGATGTAAGCCTATGCTACAAGAAATTAAAATTTTGACAGAATAATATGCTAATATATAAATCCAAAATGGTATTCAAAAGGGCGCTAAAATGGAATTCATTACAAAACAATATTAAAATCGATAAGCCAAAAGTAAAAAATTATCTAAGCAGAAAACCTAGACCTAAATTCTTCAAGATGTTCCCTAGAGAACGTAAGTTTGGTACTCAGCTTTGCATTGGCTCCCTATAAGTCACCCACTTCATTAGTTAATCGAAGAGTAATCTCATCATGCGGGATCCCTATGGTAGCTTCTTGATCAATTATCTATCTAGTGGAAAGCGACTCAGACTTGCCAAGTTTGGCCTTCTACTTCTCTGGGTTTGCAATCTTTTTGTTTAGTTCAGCAATTTGAGTGTGATAACTTGAGATTTGATTATGAAAGGAGGCCATTTTTTTTCCTTCATATTCTCATAAAGTTGAGATTTGATTTCATCGACTCACTTCTCAGATGCCTCACTCAGATCCCCCTATTTAGCCAACTCTTCCATTTTATGTTGGAGTTGGGAGTCACAAGTCTTCCTAAGTTGTATGTACCGATATATGTGGTTGAAGAGATCCTTAAATTCGAACAAAAATTGAATCGTAGAGTCAAGGATCCTTTGCTTGTTGATCTCCTTCAATAGTTTATGAATGTCAGTTTTGAAATTGGCATCTTCCTCGATAGCCTTGAAAAGGTTGACATCAAAGACAATCACTCTGAGTTGTTGAATCATGAGATTCACAGAGCCATATGACTCATCACTCACAGGGGCATTGGAGGAACTAGAAGATTTGAATCTAGTTTCTAATTTGCAATGTTTCTGAAGTCTCCTCAAGGCTTCTATATGATTTTTATTTTTTATGGCCAAAATCTCTTCTTGACTAAGAGAAGTATTGGAAGACAAATTTGTAACAGTGGAATTGGTTTTTTCTCCCTTGTTTGCCTCAGGTTGATCACACTCTTTCTCCTCCTGATTGGTTTCAATGCCAGGTTTCAATTTTTTTCATCCACCTTTTAGGATCATTAGGCAACCTTTGGATGGTGCTGATGTAAATTATCATGGATGGAGGCAATGGTGTAATCAAAATCTTCATTCTTTTGAGGAGACAATTCATTAGTATTTATTTTTAGTTCTGAGTCTTGTTTTTTGGGAGTACTTGCATCTTCACCGATTTTTTTAGTTTCTGGATGGACAGATGCAAGACTATAATCAAGTGTGGTCGACCAATGAATGGGAGATTGAGTATTGGTTGGATTCAGACGTTATGGACCTGTCAATTTGTCATGAAAATCTTAGGTTGACTTTGGTTGTGTATAAAAAAGGGAATAATTAGTTACTCCAAAGTTTGAAATGACAAATAAGAAAGGTTGTAACTAATATCTTAGGTTCTTTCTTTTGCTTTACTTTGATATTTGTGATTTATGTTGGTTTGTTTGGTTATTCTCTGTCGAAAATGGCAAGTCGATATTTGTCGGCCTCATTGGTTGGCTTAGCAGTCGAAGGCTGAGTTTTCTTTGGAGGTTTTTTATTTTGACTCATGTGTTTCTTTGTCTTGCTAGTACCTTGTTCAGAGGAAGGTTGGGTTGGGGATTCAAAAAGATCTGAGTCTTTTTGCTTTCACCAGAGCTTTGACCTCAGCCAGATCTTCTGATGGTTGTAATGTAACCTAAAATTTTAAAAGTTATCAGTATTCCCAACCGTCAATACCAAAAGCCTAAAAGGAGAACTATTGGTGCATACCCGCGCTTGCACATGAGTCACAACTTTTGTTATTTTCTTCTTTTTTGGTTGAGTGGAAGTGGAAAGAGGACTTTGGCCATGCTTTTGAATCTGAAAGGAAAAGGAATTAAATATTGTTTCGATATGACAAGAGTGTATCCTTGAAGAAACTTACCTTTTGTTCCTTTGAGTTTTTTTGGCCTTCACCAGCAGTGGATGTCTTTATAGATTTTTCTCCGCCTTGAGTGTTAGGCTCATCTCCGAGAAAATTAGATATATAAGAAAGTCAAAGTAAATTTTGAAAGCTCTAAATTCTTTAATCAGTGTGCCTTCATCTTTCTTTAAGTTTTTTTGCAATTCAGAAAAAGTAGTTGTTAACCTTTGACGAAAGCCATGTTCAACAAATACACTTTGGAAATATTTCGACCACTAGTCTTTAAATTTTTTTGGAGTAATAGGAGTGCTGAAATAGGAATGTTGGCAGTTGGAGAATTATTTGGAATTAGAACTACATATATTCCCTCTAGCCTTGTGCAGTAAAGTTGTGTTTCGACCAACAAATATCATTCTCCCATGTGTAGAGGGAATTGGGCAGTAGTTGGATAAATCCAAATTGTCTAACCACTAAGTTTTGGTGTCGATATACATGGAAAGGTATTCATAAAGGTTCTTTATGAAGGGGTGTCATTTGGGATGGTTAGGGAAAACCTTTTACCTTCGATGCTCCTAGCATCATTTTCCATCATCAAATCTTTTGACATATTAATCGTCAGTTTTGGTTCAAAGGTAGCATTTAACCAAAGTTGTAAAAGCCGCATGGGTCTAAAGTTGAGGTATTTTTGTTGGTTTTAGGGAGGTGTTTCAATTTGTAGGAAGCAATGTCTAATTCCTTATATAAATTGGTGAGGAGTAATTTCCCAAGCATATATTTCAACCTTCATGAAGTTGGGTCACTAAAGGGATATACTTCTTAGCTATTTGTAAAGAGCTTGAACAAAAGAGGAAATAAGAAAGCCAGAGAGTCAAAAAAGCAATGTGTTCTAAGTTAGAAACCTCTTTGGTGCTTTTGTCATGATGGTCAGTAATATAGTTTATAAAACTAGCATAGACGAATCAAAAATTAATGTCACTTGTGGTTTCCAAAGTAGGATCGAATGTCTCTCCTATGGGTCGAAGGCCAGTGATGGCTACTACGTCTAGTAGAGTCGATGTGATCATCCCATAAGGAAGTTGGAAAGTGTTTGTTGATCCTTCCCAGAAGAAAATTAAGGTAAGCATCGTACAAGGATTATACCTAGGACCAGTACTAGAGATATGAATAAGGTAAAAAATACCTAATTTTTCCCATTGTGCTTGTTTTTTACTTTGCACTTTGTCTAGCCATGCAAGGTAACTCTTGTTACACCTAGGACCAGTACTAGAGATATGAATAAGGTAAAAAATACCTAATTTTTCCCATTGTGCTTGTTTTTTACTTTGCACTTTGTCTAGCCATGCAAGGTAACTCTTGTTATAGGGAGTATATGATCGAAACATGCGTGCGAGCGGATCCATAAACCTTTAAGTCAAGGGCATATTGCTCAAACGCAGAAGGCGTAACATCAAAATAACAAGGAAAGAAAGCTTTCATTTTCTCAGGATGAGATCTTGGGGTTGGAAATGGAGCTAAGAATGCTAAGATCTTATCAGAAATAGAAAAGGCAATAAGCACCAATGAACTCTAAATCGCGGTATTCTCTTGTTCCAGTAGCGATTCAAGAACATAGTTCCTCCCTAAATCTTCTTCTGACACTGGAATAGTGACATACTCCAAATTTGCCCGCCTTAGTACTACCGTCAAACTTATTTTCGAATTTGGGTGTTACAGATATAAAATTCCTTTGATTTAATTATATTAACATTCTGAGTTTTTTTAATAAAAATTTGCTTTCAAGTCTGTTTGAAAATATAATAATTATTTGTATTTTTGTAAAAAATAAAAAATAATTGTTCGTTGTCTTATACTTTCAATTGACTTTTTACTTTCGAAAGTAACATAGCACAGTTGGTAAAGGAGAAAGACTAACAAGCAGAAGGTATAGGTTTGAATCTCATTTGCTGCACTTTGGATATTTTTACTATTACTAACTTTATTTTTATTTTCTAAACCACAAAAATCATATTTTTTATTATTAAATTATTATTTTCGTATTTATTTATTTATTATATTTTTAAAATATTATTTTTTATTAAAATATTTATTTTTATTTAAAAAAATAGTCAAAATAAGTTATAAATAGTCAAAATAAGTTATAAATAGTCAAAATAGTCAAAAATATATTTCGTTTTTATTTAATTTGGGCCTTTTGTTCACGCTAGCTTTCTCTCCAAGTTTTTAATCTAATTTTACTCTATAAATAGGGTTCATTGTTGTCCTAATTTATCATCAATAATTCACCAACAATTCTCATCCACAATTTCTCACAAATCCAAAAACACACAATTATTCACCGATCGACAATCTCGCACACTTTCTTTTCTAAATTTCTTTTAGGGTCATGTTATTCTTGGCCAAAGATTTTCATATGAGTCCCCTATCTTTTATTTTTAATTCCTTTTAATTTCAATTTGTTTATGTTTAAACGATATAATAAGGATTTCCTTATGGTTTTAGTTTTGATAAAGAAAAATTACACCTAGTTTCATGCACCATTTTTTCAATTTCCAATTTTCTTTTATTTTAGTCAAATAGTCAATTTTTCCTGCATTGTACAAAATTCAAAACCGTTTCCTATCCTTCATCAACCACTGTATCCACCACTTTTATATCTTTACCAAAACCAGTAACAAATTCACTATGGAAATACTTTTTCTAACCCAAAATCTAAACCCTTTTTATATTCCATCTTTTACATTAACTATAGAAATTTCTAAGCATATAAACTTGTCAAAAAGCAGCATAGCAAAAAGCTTCACAAATTACACAATAACATCCACAACATAACATTAACTTACCACATTACCACATTTTTTTCCAGTTATTATTCTAACAAGCTGCAGGTTACAAGCAAGATTATTGAATTCAAGAAGAACAGAAAAAGGAAATAATGTGAAACTGCCAACATCACCTCAACCGGAACTACCACCAACGAACAACCACCTTCGTTGCTGAACCGGCCTCCACAAAGCTCTACGGCCACCTCACACACCATTCACGATCCCACAAAACCAACAAACCATCTCTGCACCCACTCCATCGATCGCCTAGCATCATCACAAAGCACCAATCTGTCCAATATCTCGCCGCAGATCTACACTTCAACCCGCACAACAGGAATCATACATCACCACACACTCGGCCTGGAGGCTATTACCATCGACATAGATCCGACGACTCCCACGGTTGGCCGATAACCAATCTCTCTGATCACAAAGACATGCACCAGCACTGCGACCCATCCGAAACGGCTGCCATCAAATCTGCGAAGGTTCATTCTTAGTTTAATGTCTCTGCGTTATTTCTCTTTTTGTTATTGTTTTGTTCTATGATTTTGCTGAGAAGAATGAAAAGCAGATTGAGGAAGAAAGTCTAGAAAAAAAACAACAGGTGTTTTGTTTTGTATGAACGAGTATATTATATTTTACTATTTTTTTGTTTTATTATTTCTATCATTATTAGTAAGACACTTGTCGTAAGCTGATTGGTCCCTAGAATAAATTCTGAAAATAAAGAAAAAGCATCTCATGATGTAAACTGCCCCAGACTGTACATCTTTTGGATTTGTTTACTTTTTTCTGCTATTTTTTAAGTTAGTAAACTATTAGGTTTAATTAGGATTTTTTTTATGGGTTTTAATCTTGGGCTTTACCATTCTTACACTACCGGCTCCATTTCTATTTTACACCCAAATTTTGATTTGTTTTGATTTAGTTTATTTTTTAACTTCCTATTAGTTTAGATTTCTTTATTAGGTTTTATTATTAAAATATGAGGATATAAAAAATATAATTAATTTAGTTTATTAATTATTTTTGTTTTTTTATGTTTAAAAACTCATCAGTCAAAATATTAGAAATAATAAAATGTGATTAAGTTAATAATTAAATAAATATGTATTTAGGCCCCCGATAAAATTTAGACTTGTAAATAAATTTAGAAATACTTTAATACCTTTCACAATTTAATTAATTTAATATTTTACAAAGATATTAAAATTCACGTAATTCCGCATATTTCATTCGCAAGTGACACGTAGTCAATATCTGACCATGTGGTGAGGAAGACTATATTAGACTTCATTTGCATCATTCATAACGAATAGCACGAAGTCAATATCTGACCACTTGATGAGAAAGGCTATATCAGACTTCCTTTGCATCCTTCATGACGAGCAACACGTGGACAATATTTGGCCACGTGAGGAGGAGACTATATCAGACTCCCCCCCGCTCAATGTCTCATCACACTCTTTAATCGAATCAAAACATCAAAACAGCTAACCAACAATAAACCATTTTCCACTAACCTAACAAAAACTCAAGATACTTTCAAAAAAGGGTTAAGGAGAATTAATTTCAAGTTTAACTACGAACTGCGTCTATAATCACTCACTTTTCAAAACCCATACAAGGTTCAAGGATAAATTCAAAATCAATTCTACACAATCCTATAAAAAACACCAACTCATATGAACTACGAATTGGGACTCTGATCCTCATAAGAGGATATATAGGCATAAGATCAAAAATCGTAGCGAGTTTCCCTATTAAAAAATCAGGACACTTTTCTTACTAATTAAAACTTAAAATCCCGTTTACCCCAAACCTAAACCTAGAGCTTAATATCCTTGTGAACAATGTGGATGAAAGGTGCCTAACACCTTCCTTTCGTCTAATTGAGTTCGTAACCTAGAATCTCTGTCTGCGAATTAGGGTTTTCTGTTAGGTTTCTTTCCCTAGGATAAAAACTAATGGTGGCGACTCTTAATTTAAAAACCAGTCGCAACAAATAGTGAATGCAAGAAGATTGTTTTTGGTGGTTTCTGCAGTAGTTGAAGTGGAAGCCATTGTTTTTTCTAAAAGTTGGAGGAGTTTTGTGAGGAGAACTGCAACATCTTTGAGAATGCGAGTGTGAAAAAAAATGAAAAGAGAGAGTGAAAATGGGTATTTATAAGGGCTCTTGCCTACTGAAATTGCAAAAAGTGGCGAAATAGGTGGTAAAGAGAGACATTTTAGTTTCTTAGAAAGTGGAAAGGACAGTGGGTAGTTATGGAAGTTATTGCCCATGATCTCTTTAGTAACTAGGAGTAATGACGAGTATATGCAAAATCCACCGAAAATGATGTTTTGCATAAAGGTGCAATGATGACACTGACGTCAGCTTAGTGCCTTGAACAAGTGTCGAAAATCGTTCAAAAATGTCACCTTTCTCCCTTTCCACATATTCGATGTTCGAAAATATGGCATTTTTTGGGACAATTTATTATCTCATATTTTCGACACAAGAACAAATGTGAGAGTTAAAGACAATACTGCAGCCTTGTGATGAATTGACTTGAATTGTACTCCAATCAAAATGTTTATGTTCGACCATAAGGTTAAAAAATTGGTTGTCTGAAAGCTACGTTTAGTCGAGGTATGCTTGGAACCTTGGTCGAAATGTGAATATCAACAAGGGTTTAGTCGAAGACGAGATAGTTTCAAGTTTTGGGACTTAGTGAAATTTGGAAAACTTTCAATTTTACGTTACTACTGCAGATACAAGTGTTGTCGAAGCAAGTTGAAAAAAGGTTAAGATCAAACAGTTTATTGAAAAACATGTGTAAGCTTGTCAAGGGAGAAATACATATGGAGATAAAGACGTGTCAAGCTTTGGTAAATCGATAATTGGTGATGGTTATGTTAGAACTAGTATATAAGTAGTTCGTGTTTGTAGGATTAAGGGTCTCTAATTTTACACAAATTTTGTACACTCAATGTATCTAAGTGTTAGCGAGAACTGAGTGATTTGAATCAATGTATCTATTTGTGTTCCATTTATAAATTCAGTTTCTTTTTATTTTCATTATTTCATTTACTACAATTATTTTTCATTTTTTATTTCGACATTCATTGTCAAATGTGTTTCAAACCAATAATTTTTGCATAATTCATCCTGGGATATTTTCAAATTTAATCCCTTATGTGAAATCAAACTTGTCTTTGTTTACCGAAATTTCCAGTAAACAGATTGTCCAACAAAATAATTTAGATTGGGTAGAGACTTAAGAAAAGATGATCATTTTTCTTTCTTATTATACCTTATTGATGTCAAAGTTCTTAACTTCATGCAAAAAGACTTTGTTAACAAAAATTTGTAGACTGGGTATCAGGTTGAATCATTCAATCAATTCAGGATATCTCACTTGCAATTTGCACACAATACTTTGGATGAGAAAAGTTTTGAAAATATTAGTGCAATCAAAGCCAACTTAAGATTCTTTTAAATGATTTGAGAACTCAAAGTCAACTTCCATAAAATCCTATTGGTAGGTGTCAATGTTCCCCAATCTTAAATGGTAGAAACAATAAATGTATTTAATAGTAAGATTGGTGATATATCATTTTTATCTTGGTCTCTTAACTTAAAGTAATTCTAATAAAGCTATCTTCTTGGATACCAAATACGAATCTCTGAAAAATCCTCGTTCATCATCTTGATCCTTGACGAGGATGAAAAATTGCATTACAAATGATAATGTTAAGCATTCCTGAAAAATTTCAACCATACATTTCAAATATTTCAAATAATAAAGTACAATCTAAAACATCAAAACATTAACCATGCAACTAATATTTCAAATTATCAAAATCAACTAATAAATAACAAACTGATATAAATATGATGAGTTCAGAGGCGGACTCAGGGTGGATACTAGTGCCACGATTATCTAATTTATTTCCTTGTTTTGTAATCGGGAAAAATCCAAATTCAAACTTAGTCAAAACGAGTTTTTTCCGATTAAACCCAAGACAAGCTTAGGTACGTATTTGGATATACGAATCTTGTTGTCTTTCTTTATTTGAAATATTCTAAGTCTCACATTGGTTAGACATTTAGTCTCTAAAGAGTTTATATAACATGACTCCCCTCACCTTATAAGCTGGTTTTATAAGAATGAGTTAGAATAAACTCTAATATAGTAACAGGGTTTATCAATCAGACCATGGACCTCCCGCAGTTAATACTCGCGCACTAAACCCAAAAAAAGTGCTAGACGTGAAGGATGTATTGAAAAGATTCTAAATTCTACATTTGTTAAACATAAAACGTATAAAAAATTTATATATAAAGACACCTCTCACCTTCTTCACTTTACAAATCAATTTTTATAAAAATAAATTATATCAAACTCTGATAGACTTAATCCTACGGACATGAAATGATGACTTCCTAGAAAACAAATATTTAATAATTTTAAAAGTTATATTTAAAAACATTTTTTAATTATAATTAAGAATGAAGGTAATTAATACTACTACAGTTTTAAATATAAATAAAAATATCAATAAAAAGTTTATAATAGTTCAAAATTTGAATCGTATACATCAAATTTTAATAAATTTTTATTTACAATTGAAATAAAAATAAATATATTATCATATATACCCGGAGAACTTGAGGCTAAAATAGGCAATGAAAACAATGAAAACAAAGGCAAGATAGTGCATGCTCACCACACAACACAACTGCTACTTGCTACCCTTAATTTAAAGTCCTTCGACCGGTTTGAAAATGAAAAAGTATTTCAATTTTGTCAAAAAAACTTTTAGTATTATAATAATCAGCTAATCAATAATTGCATATAATACGACAGACGTGATATTTTTGTTAGGAGATACGTAACCATTAGGAACAGTCACATCTAGTATTTTTCAATATAAACATATTCTCTTTTTTAATATATAAATTTTATTTTTGCAAATTTTCAAATATGTTTTATAAAGATGGAAATTAACAATACTTTAAAAAATATATAAATTAAAATTAAGTGATTTTTTAAAATTTTAATATCTATTTTTAATAAAATAATAAAATATCTAAACTTATATTTTAATAATAATTATTCAAATCAAATTTATATTTGAAATTTATATAATTTTTTTATATATTTTCTTTTATACAAAAATAAATAATATTATAAAAATCATTAAAAAAAATTAAAACAACCAAACATTTTATTACATTATATTTGATAAAGTTCAAAATCTATTCTTATCGGACTAATTCTATTGTTAATGTTGAATATTTCACATGTAGCAAAGATAAAAGACTATTTGTACTTATTTATTTATTTTTAAGGGTGGTTGAGGTTTGAGATAGACGGAGGATCTGATTGGTGGCAGACTGTGAATAAGATCAGTCAAGAAGGAGGGAGGATCGAAAGTGGGTGGTTCCTAAATAACACTGAGAGATTTGCAGGGAATGAGACAAGTTCTGTTATGGAGCGATTCTTGGTTGAAGGGAGGAGCGTTAATGTCTAGATTCTCTAGGTTTTTTGAGTTATCTGAGTATAAGAGTGCTTTAGTAGCGGAGATGTATGCTTTAAGGTGGGGGAGTAGATGGAGAGGTTTGGAGATGGCGCATAAGATTGTTTGCGCGAGAGGAAGAGTTGGTTAAGGAATACATTAGGTTGTTGGATTCTTTTGTGTTGCAGGACTCGATTGAATATTCTTGAGTGCGAAAATTTCATCCTTCAAAGCGGTCAATGTCAGCAATGCTTATCATCTTTTGACGAACTCGGTGGACCCTCACCACTTCGGAGATTCACACGTTTGGTGGTCTAAGGCGGTGCCTCTAAAGGTTAATGTTTTTCTTTGACGGTTATATCGTAATAGATTACCGACGAGAGATGATTTAGTTAGCCGTCGTGTTATTAGTACAAAGGAGAAAAATTGTATAACAGAGTGTGGTTAGTATGAGGATTTGGATCACATATTTGTCCTGTGTGGTTTTTTTGGTAACATTTGATCGGTGATTTCAGGTTGATTAGGGTTTTCGTCTATTTCTCATGGTCATCTTAAGAAACATCATGAATACTTTGTGACTTTGGACGGATGGTCAAAATCAGGCTGCAACACCTTTCATATCATCTGTGTAGTATTTGTTTGGTTCATTTAGAAAGCGCAAAATCAACTGCTTTTTCAAAATATTATTCAATTCATTGAATTCTATTTGTGAAAAGGTTAAAATTAAATCTTTCTAGTGGTTGAAAACTCATTACTTATCGTTCACTTTTAATTATATAATTTAGAGGTTAAATTCTATGCAGTACGTTATTGCTACTGTCTTATAGTTTGGTTTGTTATTTTCAGTGTTGATTTTGACCAATTTTCTTATATTGGAAGAATTTTTTGACTTTTAAAATTTTAATATAACATTTTAACTTCTTAAAAAAAACTTATAACTCTTTATACCTATTTATAAATAAATTTGTTTTTTTAATATATTTAATAATTAATATATTTAATTAGACTAAATACATTAATTATCAAAATATATCAAAAAAAAAAATAATATTTATTTATAAATCGTTGCATAGAGTATAGTTATAATAAAAAAAATTAAACGTGTAATGTATATTACTACTATATTAGTACTAATAAATAATTTCCTTAATATTGGGAACACAGCTAAACCTACTACTTACGACAACGATGTTCTACTTCCTCACCATCTTTACTCCAATTCCTATAAATATCCTTTACTTCTCACCACACACATTCTCCTATTCCTTTCTATCTCTATCCATTTTCCATATACTATATCCACCTTCACCACACAAACCTCCAATTTTCTTATTCTAAATCTGCATCTTCATTTTTCCGTAAGTTCCTCTTCTTTTATCGCTATATTTTCTCTCTATTATAGATCTGTCGGTTTACACATCTAAATTGTAGTTTAATCAATTTTAAGTTAGATCTGGTGGCTAAATATGCTTAACTTTGACCATGGTTTTAAATAACCGCCCTGTAAAGGTTTTCGCGATTTCGGCCGGTAGTGTGAATTATCCATATTGGCATCTTCCGACACTATTTTGTGGTTTTTGCGGTTACAGACGGTTTGACTGTTTTCTAAAACCTTGTTTTTGACTCATCTTTGACTCATTGGCTTGATGTATTCAGTTGGCGTTGAATTGAAGAAAATGGAAGTTAAGGGTGGCTAAGTCTTGGCAACTTCTATGGCCTGTTCTGGTAAATGATATTTTGTTTGTTATGTTCTCATTATTTTGTTGATGAGATGAAAATTGGTTAATTTCTATAACACTCTATGTCATGATTGTAGATATTCGGGATTTGTGCGAGGAAGGATCTAACGTTAGCAGCTCGAGAAATAATTGGCAGAAAGCAAGTCAGAAGAATCACTGTGAGAGAAAAACTACTGTTATGGAATTTGAATCAGACTGGATACAGTATAGAAAATCATCTGCTTATACTGCTCAGGTTATTCGTTCTGCAACATCTTTTATGCCTTGGTCTTGTAGAATCCCAATCGGTGAAGGATTTTATGAATTTCTTTAGTTATACGATTTTGGATTCGAAATAAATCATTTTGAGCATTATTTGGTTAATTGTTCACAACAAAATTCTCTTCATTCTCGTGCTATATTGCTGATTTTGGCAAATGCCTGGCTTTATTGTTGGAAAAAAGAGATTTATTAAGTCAAATATGTGTTTCACCGATTTGGTCAATCATAAATCAACTCACACACGAAGCAAAAGCAATCATAGTTTAACCGGTGAGACTATGGAGAAAGATTATAGCTCGATTCTACCTGGGCTGCCTGATGATGTTGCAAAACATTGTCTTGCACTTGTTCCTCGTTCCAACTTCCCGGCCATGGGTGGTGTCTGTAAGAAATGGAGGTTGTTTATTCGAAGCAAAGAATTTGTAATGGTGCGAAAATTGGCAGGATTGCTTGAGGAATGGCTCTATTTCTTGACTATGGACAGTGAAGGAAAGGAAACCCATTGGGAGGTCATCGATAATCTCAATCATAAATGTGTATCCCTTCCACCGATGCCTAGTCCAGGAAAGGCTTCGTTTGGGGTTGTGGTTCTTAATGGAAAACTTCTTGTCATGGCTGGTTATTCAGCTGTTGAAGGAACTGCCGTTGCCTCGTCAGAGGTTTACCAATATGACTCTTACCTTAACAGGTATAATTTTATTCTCTAATCTGCATAATTATATTCTCCAATATGAGTTAGTTAACGTAGACCTATTTTACTATATGTAATTTTTGAAACATGATGGTCTCTTATGATCAATTGCATCTGCAGTTGGAGCAGATTATCAAACATGAATGTGGCTCGTTATGACTTTGCTTGTGCTGAAGTGAACGGCTTGGTTTATATTGCTGGAGGTTATGGAGTGAACGGTGACAGTCTCTCCAGTGTTGAGATGTATGATCCAGATACTGATAAATGGGTCCTGATAGAGAGTCTTCGTCGCCCAAGGTGGGGTTGCTTTGCTTGTGGATTAGAAGGTAAGCTCTATGTCATGGGTGGAAGGTCAAGCTTTACTATTGGAAACTCCAAGTCTGTCGATATATATAACCCCGAGAACCACAGCTGGTGCGACATTAAGAATGGCTGTGTTATGGTCACTGCTCACGCAGTATTGGAAAAGAAGTTGTTCTGTATTGAGTGGAAGAACCAGCGGAAGCTGGCAATATTCAGTCCAGAAAACAACTCATGGACAATGGTACCCGTCCCATTGACAGGGAGCTCGAGTGTTGGCTTTCGATTCGGCGTACTAGACGGAAAGCTGTTACTATTTCCAGTTGAAAAAGAACCTACTAATCAAACACTGTTGTATGATCCAAATGCCGCTTTGGGATCAGAATGGCAAACTTCAGACATAAGGCCATCTGGTATGTGCTTGTGCAGTGTAACAATCAAGGCATGAAACTTCTTTAGTTATGAAGTTTTCTGCATTTTTACTGAAGTTTAAAATGGTATTGAGGATGGATTTCCCTCTTCACATCGTGATCTGATTTTTATCTGCTGCTTTTGGTTTGAGTTGTGATTGTTGTTGTATTTGTATTTTTAGTTTTAATGATTATTGTATTTTTAGTTTATAATTATGATGTTGTTGTTTATCATGCATCCCAATATGTCTCTCTGACGTATATAGGGGATCAATTTTCTGTATTGGAATATTGACTTTGAAGTAGCTCTATTTCAATTTATGGTGGATGGATTTCTGTTTGTTTATGTTCTTTTGGTTTTGTAATGCAATAACAATATCTAGAGGGCTTCTTCTCGTTTTCTTAAATCTCAGGTTAACTTTTCAAGCTTCTTCTCATTTATGCATAAATGCTTATGATATAACATTTCTGCATCAATGGTTCTGAACACATACTTTCTTTTAATGTTTATGAATATGTTTTATGCTGGGGTTGTGTGTTCTGGGTACTAAAATGGATGTTTTTCTATATTAAATACACTCTATGTCTTATAGTTATATGATAATCCTTTTAATATTTTCTTTTGTGGTTTTGTTTTTTGTTTTGATAGTTTTTTATTTGTTGAAGTGTTACTTTATTTTTCTTCTCATTGTGTGTCCTAGCATCTTATGTCTTTAGGATTCATGGAAAAAGATTTGCAATTTTATGAATATTATCTTATTACAATTACAAGATATATTTAAAAAAAATGAAGTTCTTATATTATAAATTATTGTCTCTACAAAAAAAATTCATTTTATATGTTAAATAACAAGAAGTAGGATGGCTGTCTCAGGGGTGTTCCCGATTCGGTTTGGGTCGGTTTTAAGACAAAAATTCATTTGATTCAAAGATAAATTTACTTGCGACTCGGTTTTAGATGATATATTAAATGGTTTAATTTAGATCGGTTTTTGGATATCCAAATTACATATTATATTTTTATTAATATTAAAAATTACTAAAAAATGATAGATTTGATATAATATATAACATATAGTATATAAAAAAAGTTAATATTACAAAATAAGAGTGATCGAATATAGTTGAAATAATAAAAATAAATAGATTATATCAAACTAATAAATATTATTAAAAAAATTATTATCATCTAATAATAAATTTACGTAACATCTCATACTAATAAAAAGTAAATAAGTATAAAAATATATATTATGCGGTTCGGTTTGGTTTGGATCAGTTTTGAAAAATTAATTCGAAGTCCGATCCGAACCAATCGATTTTCACAAAATAACATCCAAACACATCTAATAAATTTTATTTTTTGTTTTGTAATTTTGAGTTTTTTGGATCGATTTTCGATTTTTTATTTGGATTGGTTTGAATTTGAACACCCCTAACATGTCTTATGGTAATGTGTATTGTAGTTATATATAAGGATATATATGTTGAGATAAGACGAATATCTGAATCAAACTAAGTAGATAGAGATGTAGAAGAGAGTGTGTGAGTGATTTATTTCTCTGAATGAAATGTTCTGTTATTTCTTAAACCTAAGGTATGCTATTTATATTACATAAAGTGTAACTATTCATCTAATGTAATAATACATGTAACTATTCTAAGTTGACAAAATTTTGTATATAATAGATATTTACTATTCACAATATATTTCAAATAGTAAATATAATAATTTATTATAATTATAACATTCCCCTTTTGAAATATTTGCCATGGTGCTCTGTTGAAATCTTGTTGAAGATAGTTCGGGGAACATATGTTGCCTCGTTAAAAACCTTATTAGAAAAAATCTATTGGGATAAAAACCTTAATAAGGGAAAAAGAGTACAACATTATGCTCCCCCTCAATATAACACATTAGTTCTTCTTCAACCATCTCGAAGGTGTCAGATTCCAATATTTTGTAAGTGCTTCCTGAAAATTGACGTGGGAAATGCCTTTTTAAGAGATCCGCCATATTATTACTCGAACAAATGTATTGAATATCAATCTCTTTGTTTCTTTTGAGTTCTTGTGTGAATGAGAAGAACTTTTAAGGGATGCTCTTGGTTCTATCCGTTTTGATGTAACCTTTTATCTGGGTAACACATGCAACATTATCTTCATATAAAATTGTTGGATTATTATCTGTTGTTAAACAAAATGCTCCTTAGATATGTTGAGTCACTGATCTTAATCATCTACACTCTTTGCTTGTTTCATGAAGGACAATTACTTCAGCATTATTTGAAGAAGTTGCTATAAGTGTTTGCTTTTGAGATCTCCATGATATTGTAGTGTCGCCATATGTAAACACATTTTCAGTCTGTGATTTAGCATTATATGGATCTAACAAATATCCTGCATCTGCATAACCAATAAAAACTGATTTTGTATTGTTAGAATAAAGCATACCAAGATTAAATGTACCTCTGAGATATCAAAATATCTGTTTTATTCCTTTATAATTTCTCTTTGTAGGACATGTACTGAATCTTGCTAGTAAATTTACTGTAAAAGATATACCAGATCTTGTATAGTTGAAAAGGTACATGAGTGCTCCAATGACACTGAGGTATGGAAATTCTGGGTCAAGATCTTCTTCATTACTTTCTTTAAGCCTAAAAGGCTCCTTTGTTCTACCCATCATTGAACTACTCAAAGAGTTTGTCTTGTCCATGTTGAACCTTTTCAACACCCTTTTTGTATAATTTGATTGATATACCAATGTACTATTTTTAGTTTACTCAATCTATAAACCAAGGAAGAATATAGTTTTTCCCAGATCTTTCATTTTAAATTCTTTCTTTAAATAATTCTCGCTTCTTTGATTTCTTTATTAGCCCCAATGATATTTAAGTCGTCAACATAAACAACAACTATTACAAATCCATATATATATATATATATAAACACAAGGAAAAATAGGATTAGTATCACAACCTTCTTTAAGCAAATATTCACTTAGTCTATTATATCACATGCATCCTGATTGTTTTATCCCATATAATAACCTTTGCAACTTAATAGCATATATTTCTTTCGACTTTGATGTCTCAGGCCTTTTAAATCCTTCTGGGATTTTCATGTATATAGCACTATCAAGTGATCCATACAAATAAGCAGTAACTACATCCATAAGGTACATATCAAGATTATTAAATACTGATAAACCAATTAAATAACGAAAGGTAATGACATCCATAACAGGAGAATATGTTACCTCGTTATTGATTCATGGTCTTTGGTAAAAATCTTGTGCAACAAAACGAGCTTTGTATTTGACAATTTCATTTTTCTCATTTCGCTTTCTCACAAAAATCCACTTATACCCAATAGGTTTTCCACCTTTAGGTATAGCCACAATAGGGCCAAATACTTTTCGATTATTAAGAGAATTTAACTCAGTATCTATAGCATCTTTCTAGTTTTTTCAATCATGTCTATTTTGAAATTCATTCATAGTTCGGGGTTCGGGATCATTATTTTTATTCATAACTTCGCATGCAATTGAGAATGAAAATATTACATACCTTTTCGGTTCAACAAAATTTCCTGCATTGAAATCTCGAGATCGTTCTTGTTTTCAGTTTCATTATCAATAGTCTTATTATGATCATCTTGTGCTTCTTCGAGAGCACGCTTTTCAATCATGGATTTATCATCATCTAGTTTCTTTTCAAAATCACTTTCAATCAAATTCACCTTTTCTATTCCCTTTCTTTTTCGGGGATTTCTATCTTTGGATCCCATAGGTAGGTCACGCTTCAAGTGTGCCTTGGGTGTATTTGTTACATCATCAAGTTTCGAAATCTCAATTCGATTGGGACATTTACTGCTGGTACATGTGAATTTGTAACTCTTTTCAAATCAGTAAATGAATCTGGCAGATGATTTGCTAAATTTTATAAGTGCACAATTTTATTTACATTTTGTTCCCATGATTTATTATATGGGTCCAAGTGTAATAAATGGGGTACATACCATGATATTTCATTTTTTGATTGTTTGTTTTCTCCCCCTAATGTTGAAAATTTTGTTTCGTCAAAATGACAATCAACAAATCTTGCTTGAAAAATATCACCCATTAAAGATTCAAGATATCTAATAATAGATGGTGGTTCATACCCGACGTATATTCCCAATCTCCTTTGAGGTCCCATTTTTTTCTCTTTGTGGTAGAGCTATTGAGACATATACTGCACAACCAAAAGTCTTTAAATATGAAATATTAGGTTCCTTACCAATTGCAAGTTGATAAGGGATATGTTTATGATCAACACTTGGGCTTAAATGTATGAGTGTTGTAGCATGGAAAATTGCATGACCCCAAACAATAATTGATAGTTTAGTTCTCATTATTAATGGTCTAGCAATATATTAAAGACGTTTGATTAATGACTCAGCTAAACCATTTTGTGTATGCACATGAGGAACAAGATGTTCAATAATAATTCTGATTGACATGCAATAATTATTAAATGATTCAGATGTAAATTCACTAGCATTATCAAGTCTGATTTTCTTTATAGTATAATTAGAGAATTGAGCTCTTAGTTTAATTATTTGTGTAAGAAATTTCGTAAAAGCCATATCACGACTTGACAGTAAACATACATATGACCATTTACTAGATGCACCAATTAATACCATAAAGTACCCGAATAGTCCTGACGATGGATGAATAGGTCCACATATATCACCTTGAATTCTTTCAAGAAATGTAGGTGATTATGTTTTAATTTTTCCTGGTGAATGCTTTAGTTTGCCAAGAGAGCAAGTTGGACATGGTCTATCTTTTTTTGTAAGTTCTAAACTTTTTAATGGATGACCATGTGTACTTTCAACTGTTTTACGCATCATTGTTGAACTAGAGTGACCTAAACGGTCATGCTATAAATTCACAATTTTTAGATCTTCATTTACTACTAAATTGCATTCAATTTCATGTGTATATGTAGAATGTAACTCAGAATGCAATTTTGGTAGTTTTTCTAAA